TTGAGTTTGAATTTACCGATCTTCTTGTAATCCTAGCTAAACTGCCAAAAGACCGTGAGAAATTGATGACACACTTTTAAAAATCTACTTTTTAGCAAAGTTGATGTATCTAGACACAGAAGATACCGGCAAAGTTATACGGATACATATGCTCAAGAGCTAGGTAAAACCATATCAGGAACAGCAAGTGACAAAACCAAACGCCATTTACAGTTAGAAAGATCGAAGAACGCTATTTCCAGCCGGGGGAAAAACACGTCTTATGCTACATTAGGAAAATAAACGATCTACTAACTTTTGACGTTGTCCACGAAAACGCTCATATCGCACAACCGCTGCACTTGCATACACACGAGTTATTTTGCAATTATTCACACATGTAGTTCATACATATTATGCCCTATTCCTCTATTTGCTAGCTATCAACAGTCCGAGAAGGCCAATACCGAATGAAGATGGGCATTCTGACAGGGGTCGACGATGTGGGATCAACGCTTACGCGTCTCGCACACATGCTCTTCCTGAATTTCCATGGATTCCCATTCATCTTAGAGGCTTGTAACTCATATTGGCCGGTTGTCATTGTGGAGGCTATATTATTAAGGAGTATTTTCGTTCAGGATATTGTTTTCAAGTTTGTCAGGGTTATCCTATCAACTGTCAGCTTGCCAAGATGCAAACCATGAGCAAGTCGGATTTTCTGAAATGCGATAGGTGGCCTAGCTCATGGAATACGTCCAAGTTAAAAAAAGTCAATAAGAGATTTTAAACCATTGTAAATGCATCCACAAAATTATTAAGAATATGAGAAACGAATTAAAACTTAATGAAAACGTAGATGAAGTATTCGAAATGCCATTTTTGCATGGAAATAAAAATTTTTTAAGAAGGCGAAGATGCCGAAAAATGCAAATGTCCTGCCAAATGGTAAAACTCAAGATTTAGAAGTCTGCCAAACCTTTCCCACGTGCAACATAATAAATGATATACCTTAAGCAAATTACCTTTCTGAGAACTGCGTTTTGCATGCATTTAAAGGAAATGTCCATCAAGAAACAATGCTATGTGAAGTCAAGCATTTAGGTAAGTACTTAATAGGCAGAATATTATTACTGACAAAGACAAGGGAAACTGGAATGACGATTTCCGGCTTATAAGCCGATGTCAACCAGTCATACCCAACTCCAAAGTGTAGAACAACTGAAGTTCGACTTCGTGATCTTTTAGTTAGAAGTCCAACTCCTCTAACCACTGGGCCGCAGACCCGTTGTCCTGTCGGTTTCGATCGGGAATATACAATGGTTGAGGGGCGCTCGTCGATCGTTCTTACGGAACTCACTCGTTCCGTTGTGCTGATCGGTTAGAACATTCTGCCTATATGATGTGCCGCTCTGCGGCTGCTGATTGGGCTCCCGACCATTTTTTGTGCCTAATGCTTAATAATCAGGTTATTGCGAGACCTCGATGTAGCTTTTCTGTTTTTATATTGCTTCAGTTGCGCATGATAGTAGGAAAATAGTTTCACCGCATGGTCGCTATGTGACCGACGAATTCAAGTGAGCTAACCGCTTTCTTCAACGTTATAGTTTTCAGCAGCGGCGACGTCCTCTGAGTAATGGTGTGACCTTGAAACATCAGTGAATACTTTGCGGTTTTCAGCGTCCTCAATCGACTTCACGAGAAGATAAATGATAAAATTTTTGTTTACCAAAACTGTCATATAAGATATTCCTTAAAACCCTTTAGTAAAGTCACGAGTCTTCGGGTGTTCCTTTTCGTGCGGTTAGCCGTTTAAATCATATTTTTAGAAATACCAAACAGCAGACCGCGCCATTGACATAAAACGAAAGGCCACAAAGGCCGTAGATGAAAAGGCTTGTTGCCGATTAAAAAGCTTTGCTGTCAAACATCCACGTGCTTCGGCCGTTTTTAAAATAAAGTTTGGTCGGCCTTTACCATCCATGGAACTTATTTATCATTTTCTGTCACAGACGGAAAAACACATGTATTTCTCAGGTCGTAGCTGTTTTTGCTTCCTTTGCTTGCTCTTTGGGAGTGTTCCTTGGTTATTAATGCACAATAGAGTGACTATATACTCACTAACATATTGATCAAACTATTGATACTCTGCAGGTTTTGTTTATAAAGTCTGTATAAGCGGAAATTAGACCACAGAATGACATTTTATGACCTGCTTAAAGTTTAAGTAAACACGTGGTTATAGGCATTTCAGAAGTTACGTTTGGCGTATTCACAAAGGGCAGAAGAATATGGGTGCGTCAAAACGCAGAATTGCCTGTGAACGATGGTTTTGCGTTTGAGAGAGTCAAATCATATAAATGTACGGATCTTGTCATTTGAAATCAATTAAACGCCCTGGTTTCCAAAAAATATTTTCTTGTTTGCATCCGGACTTACTTTACTTTCGCGAACGAAAATCAGGATTCAAGTGCAGTAAGTCTTGCTTGGTAAAAACTAACGTTCTAATTGTTAGCCTTTGATAGAAAAACGCACAAATAGACAAATATAACCTAGGAGATCTATGGTCGTAGTAAAGAAGATACCGTTTATTTCTGCTTAAAATTATAAACATTTTGACCGGTAAAATAACTCATTAATATATTCTGCATGGAAAGGGACGATTCTCTTAGGCGGACTACGCGAATAAATAAAATGTTCAACTTTTACGGCGTCCAAAAATAATCCGTTTTGTTTTTGATTTTCCCTCCCTGGCCTTCCGCTGACTCCTCCTCATTTAGTCTTCCACCGACCATTACGGGCCAAGTGAAAATTTTGAGAGCATAAACTGGCAGTAATTTAGCATCGAAACTCTATCGAAGGTGCGCGGTCCACTCGCTTACACACGCCCTTTAGCCCTTAATAACATTAACACATCGCTTGCTTACTGAGCGCACAGTGGACTTTCCCTTTTTGTCCCTTTTGTGTGCCCATATGACCGAGTAGGCCCATGTAATTTCTTTATATGCGTGGGTAAGCGGGTGGGTTGGCATTTATGACAATGCGTTAGCGCGAAGCGGCAATGATCACTGTCACCGGCATACGTTTATAGTTTTGCTGATGGGTAACATCATTTTTCCGGCAGGCGTGCGCGGCTTGTACCATGAAAGAATTGTAGTTAATATCACTGCTGCCTGGATCATGAATTCTAAAGCTCGGAAATAACGACAAATGTCTCCGTGCCCGAGTAGCCACCTTCTTCCTCATTCACAGTATGGGTCAGCGTTGAGTTTTTAAAGCATGACTTATCGGCATGGACAGTTGCATCACCCCCAGTTGGTCATCATAGGTATTCATACTGGCAGTTTCCAATGTCGAACAAATTAGACTTTCTGCAAATCATACTAATTCCAGCACATGCAGCGCCCACCATTAGTCTGCGCTAAGAATGCTTAATGAATGTTCAATAAAATCATCCTGGAAAGGCAGGAATTTGATGACGTCTGGTGTGCCCACTTACTCCAGCACAAATGGAATGAGGTAAAATTTATATTGATTAACAGCTTTAACCAGTCCTTTGCCGAAAAAAAATTGGTCCGTGCGAAAGTAGGACCCATAAGAGTGAAAGCTTTTTTAAATTACTATCCACTTACCCTCGTCCTTTGATGAGCCGTGGTTATGAGTAATTGAGGCCGTGTGGTATCATTATTGGAAATTAATCTTCGGATTAAAGCGGAAATTGCTTGCCATGCAGACCTCCAATTGCGGAATTCCATAACTTACATATCGGCTGCGCTTTGCTTTTTACTTTGATACATACGCAGTGTGCATCCTTCTTTGACACCTCCGGCACTAACCAATGGTGTCTTAACCACCTTCTTCATTTTATATTAATTGCGGTTTTGGAAGTTTCGACTAGTATTTAGGACTTATACATCTTGCAAATTCCATGCATTAATCGCCGACGGCCTATCATGAGGTCAAGCGGTCGACTATTTTTCCGTGCCGATGAAACATTTAACGAACAACCTATCCCGCCTGGCTGACTGATTAATTTCAGTTTGAAATATGACCAGAAATGCAAACCTTTTGATAAAAAGTGGACTTAACTTTTTCGATAGATAATACAGGACTATTTCTTGCTCATCTGACGCTATCATGCAAAAAGGTAGAGAACGTCGGCGTTAGTAGGGCTTGATGCTCATAGGGAGTAAGTTAGAGATCCAGGTGGCACAAAACGCGCAGGTAATAGGCCCGACTGGGGACAGCTGATAGGCCGTATACCGGTATCCCAGTTTTCTTCTTTGGGACAACACTTATAACTATCTGACCGCCTCCGACGGCTCGACCGAGCGCCGATCGGTGAAGCACATGCAACATACGTTAACCAAAATCACTTGGCGCATATGCATGAACAGACCTGCTTTTGATTGTCTAATTACTGGGCAGCTCTTTGAACACAGAAAAAGTCGGTGAGCAAATAGCGTCTACTTTACCTCTCACCGTGCTAATGTAAATTAAAGTATTCGCTCACAATTTTGCTGTCGAAGCCTTTATAAATCATTGTGAAAAGCAACTCTAATAAGTACAGTTTTGACAAAAGAACCTTGCTGGAAACAAATATCTGGGCTTCGTCTTGGCAACAATGTAGCACTCGCAGTATTATCCGGCTCAAAGACGGACATACTGTATCGTTTTCACAATTATTCAAAAACATCTGGAATATAACATTAGTTATGGTTCTTGATAAAAGTGGGACATCAGTTATATTTGCGGTTTTAAAAAGCACAGCCGGTAACGAAGATTTAATTATGTGTCGTCACTAGTTTCTAGATGCGTCAATGCATACTTACAATGCTAAGGTCGCAGCAGTCCGGCTTCCGTATAAAAATTCATAATTTTTTGAAATACGACTGCATGCTAGTATATTCTTTTTTAATTTGCTCTGTTTAAAAATGAAAACTGTAGGGCAGCAATTACTGATCAAACCAGACTTATTTCACAGTTCCCAAATTCAAATCCTCATAGTTTTACCTCTACAATTAAAAATGGACAAATGATCTCTGGGTGACCATTTCCTGTATTCCATCATCATCATCATCATCATCATCATCATCATCATCATCATCATCATCATCATCATCATCATCATCATCATCATCATCATCATCATCATCATCATCATCATCATCATCATCATCATCATCATCATCATCATCATCATCATCATGGAAATTTGAGATTATTTTATGCTGTAACTTTACAGTTGTCTCTAAGGAATACGGCAAGTCTAATAATCGAGTGAGTGAGGTCATTGCTCAGATGACGGATGTCGTTCATCCATTTTTGATGTCGTTGTAAGTTTATTTCGCCTTTTTATATAGCCATAATATGTACATCTTAATAATTCCGTTTATAAAAAGAAAACGATGTCTTCCTCCCCGTCTTAATTTTGAGGCAAGGGCGCGATAGGCGCTGAACAGTAAGCTACTTTAATCGCCGTAATAAATCTGCACAATTATAAAAATAGCATCCTATCTAAAATGTTACATCCGAGTCTTAACGTCTCACTGCTTTTTCCAAATGACACTTCCTAACGCATAAGCGACGGACTAATTTTCAGTTGGACGTGTGGTAAAGGCGCAGTCTGCCGTTAATTTGGCAAAAAATTGGAAAATAATCTAACCTTAGAAGGACCCGCATGCAGATTAACGATTCTTGAGGTCAACTTATTTTTGTAAAGAAGGACATCAAGAAGGTCTTACGTATCACTTCCTTAACAAAGTGCTACTTGACTTGAAAAGCTATTAGAAACCAATGGAATCATCGTGCTTCTTTTATTGTAGCTTTTCGATTTCCTCGAAATCTGATCGTTTACCTGAAGTCTATCAGTCTTTTTGAGGCCTATGAGCTCAGGTTGAAATTGTTATGAGTATTTAGGTCGAAGTCTACTAGCCAATGCGGAATGACCGCGTAATATTTCAGAACTGTCAACAGGCAGTCAGTGGTATATACTGGAATAGCATAAAATACAATACTTGACAGCAAAGGTACCAACTAATAGCCCTAACAACTGCTTTTGTCACTAGTCTGCCGTTGCATTGCACATCTGCCAGAGCTCATCAGTGAATTTTCTGCCAGAAAGCACAAAAGAAACGCGGTAGAACAGACTGATCAGTCGAACTCCTCATAACTGTGCCATGCAGCGACCGAATATTAGCAAATCACCGTTCTGGTCTTCTAGATAGTATCTGTACGCTCATATACGGTGCATCGTGTGCAAACCTTACCTATGTTTTTTATTATACAGGGGCCTAAAGGGCGATTAACGGACAACTATGACTCTACTAATTATTTCATCTTAAATTATTAGTCCCGAAATTTCTGTGGACCCCATATTAATTTTACAGATTTTTATCGTATCAATTAAATTTCGGCTTTACATTGCAAATTTTGGCATCTCCCACAAATACATGTAAAATAGTGTTTAGTGGGTACCTTACCTTACTTAAGGTCTCCTTGCGTTTACCATAAAGCGCAGTCTCTTCGGCATGTAAAATGCAGCCAGTACATTAATGTGCTGAGTGACACTTACAATTCAGATTCATTGATACCTACTTTAAGTAACTGGCCTCATAAAATATTAGACGAAATTTCAAACTTCGTTTTTAATTAAAATGGATTTCCTAGGTAGGGTTGTAATATCCATTATCATGCAGCAAATTTAATATGAAATTTCCGATTCATCGGAATTTCGGCTTTTGAATGAACTTCTTCCTGACTATTTAGGGAGGATGTATTTTTTACATTTATTTTCAAGTTCCCTATTAATTCGGATTTAATGTATAGAAAATATGCAAAAATATGCTCTCTCTTATTCGTTTGGTAGACAATCACGTTAAGTTCATATTTTATAACTGAAGAACGAGCACATTTACGTTTCGAAAACGTTTCCAAATTCATGAATACTCTTGAGCCTGGTCAGTCGTTGTATTAGCGCTTAGTAATTTCATTCTACAAGATGCGTGCCTACCGCGTAAAAAATCATATATTAATCTATGTCTTTCAGACGACCCAGTATAGAGTTCACAAAATTTTGCCGTCGATGCAGACTATATTGTACATATAGTCAGGGGGATCTGCAAACGGACATGTGAGATGGTGTATGAATAGACATCGCGTGGTTTTAAAAAATCTCATAATTATACACTTTTTTTATACCTAGATATAAACCTTTTGGGTAAGAATGTAACATAAATGTGTTTTACAACCAAACGAGTAAGAGAAAGCCCATTTTTATACATATTTTTATACAATATGATCGAATTCATTATACAGTAGAAAATCATGGTGGAAAATGCATGTTCGTTAAGTAGCCATTTTTGCCGAGTAGGGTTTCTACAAAAAGTCAAAAAGCAATTCATTCGAAAGCCGACATCCCGAGGAATCCGAAATATAATAAAAAATTTGCTGAATGATAATTCATATTACAATTCCACCTAGGAAATCCATTTTAGCCGAAAGCGCATCTTAGTATTGCAGCCAACATTCCAAGAGGTCGGTCACTCACTGTATTTGCTTTAAGGAAACAACGTGCATCGTTTCAAATGTCTAAACCTAACCATGAAAGTATTTGCAAAACTCGGACATGGATCGGCATGACTGAGATTAAAGCGTACGAATAATTCTTAGGGTTTATTAAAGCTTCTCAAATTTGAAATGGGTTTCTCCGCACTGATCATTTAGTGTTTCCTTTTTAGGATATCTAAAACAGTAATAAGCATCCGCATCGACAAAGGTCTAATATAAATAGATGGTTACTAATAGGCTTAGAGAAGGAAGCACACCACAGCACGCTGCGTCATCTGGGAGTACGTTACTCGCTAATCGATATTTAAATCACTCCAAAGTGATTTTTTCTTTTTTTCGGAAAAAGCGTAAATTTCAGGCTCTGTTTTGTCGGTTTTGATGTAAACGGTCCATTAAAGTTTATCTTCCTTGAAGATTAATTCATTTTCTATGGGAATGCCTATTTCACCCTTTGCCTGCATCAACTTAAAGTCAAAAACAGAGTTCTAACATCTGGACGGTCGAGCTAAGTAGAAAGCACAGCGGTGCGTGCTTTCTCTCGTTAACTAACGGTTACTCTGTTTCAGCCATCTGGTGGCTATTTAGGCTACCACAATTTGAAAATGCGAAAGCTGATAATATAATGAGCAGTGTTATAACATGCTATACCCAGTGAGGTAAAAAATCAATAGCGCGAGCAGTTCAGCATGCCTCGTCTATAAGGGTAAGTCATTTATTCGGTCAAAGCATTTTTAAAATAGAAAACAGAGCACGGATGCTAAGAAACACAAGAAAGAACTCACCAGACTTGCTATGAAAGTATGGCAGGAATTGTGAAATATTATAACCACAAGGCGTATAATTACAGAACGTTTCGAAATAAGCAATTTACCGTTTGCAGATTGGTAGGTGAAAGTTTGCTTTAATTTTACATTTCGTGGCCCTCAAACACTATTTTTACCCTTGTTGTTGTCACGCGGGAATATGTACTCCACCACGAGGCTATTATTGCTACCTGTAAAGTTTAGTCGTAAAATGTGAACAATGTGTCAGCTATTTAAACGCACATCTTCTTGCTTTTCCCCAAATGCTGACCTTGTCCGCTCAGCCGCACTACTTTACATTGCTGGAGTTGCGGACAATTGTATTCTACTGAAAACTTTTCAAGATTAGCGTGCCCATAGGCAAGAAATCATTAACTCTGATTTTCCCCGTCTTCTCTCTCTCTCCCAACGCACACATCATCGCCACCAACGGCGTAATTGCTGACTATTGTTTTTACCTTATGCATCCGAAAAACAAACCTTGTTAGGATGTGCACTGCCCAAATCAGACGTATCGTCTCCGCCTGATCTCATTTCCCTCAAAGTTACTCAGCGCTCTTGGGATTGTGAATTCCATAAAAATGCCCTTTTTCCTGTAACGGGTGTTGGGCTAAAGCGTTTCTCGAATTTACGCATTTAACAGTCGCCAGACCAAACCGTACCTTCAACTCTCGAAACGGTCGGAAATGAAACACCTGAATCAGTTTTTACGCGTACGCACCAAAACTTGCAGTAATGGATAAAAAGGTGTCTGAGACATCCGTACCGTAAGTGGTGCTTGAAACTGCCGGGCGCCTGCTCCAAAGCATTTGCGCATGCGTACGCCGTCATTTTTATGCTATCTGTAGGGCCAGCTAGTAAGGTATCTGCTCGAAACAAAGTCTGCAAATTGAGGCGTGTTGGTTCTGATTCTCCACAACTAGCTTACAGGAAAATGTGTCATAACCAAGATGCCGGCGATCAAGTAGAAACTTCTGTTCCACAGGGTTAAACAAGTCCTATCGTTCTTGAAGATCTGTATTGTATGGTATCCCTATTCTTTTTCTAGTGTTTGCGCAGAAGAAATTATCCACAAATCAAATTTAAACGTACAGGTGTCAACTGGAGTCGCTTGGGTCCTAAAACGCTTTTTTCAAGAAAAGTTACTTAAAAAGTCCAGTTGGCAAATAGGTCTTTTCGGTAATTCTTGGTCAGGCCAATACAGCTACATGAAAGAATGAAAAGAAGCAAAATTAACAGTGTTCATGGGCTATTAAGTCATTAACACTTATCTTCCCACGCCGTCCCCGTGACGAGGTCGAGGGGTAATGCTACTCAGGACTAGGATGGGGAGGAGGTCACAAAGTCTTTGGGTGATATTCCTAGATTGAGTACACGGAGTACCCATCGGTGCAATTAGGGATTTGAGGCGACATGTTGTCGTCATTTGAGTTTGACGTTGGCCAAGGCAGAGAGAGCGCGTGTGTCAGGGTTATCTGAGAGCATAACACCGGATTCGCTAGCCGTTGTTAGTACCCGTTTGCGAAGGCCTTGAGAGAAGCTTGTTGGTATCCGATATACAATCTGAAATGTTTCCTTGGCATCGACTCAGTGATTTGTATCGATTAAATGCACACGAATAAAACTGATATGGGTAAAGATTCGAGGTCCAGATATTGTATCCCGTTCATCATCCCCCGAAGAAGACGAAGAAGAAGATGGGGCGAATTCATGGACCGAGTTATATTTGTACTGACGTTTCGGAAACCCTCTCGTTTCCATCATCGGAGTAATGCGTTGACTGTTCCTGCTGGTCTTGATTGCGTCAGCCTTGATACCTGCCTGGTATTATATCCGTGCGCGAGGCA